ACCATTGGAGTATAAAAGAGAAAAAAATAGAGAAGGAAGTAGGCTTTTAAAAATTTCCTATTGTCCATTTGCTCTAGTCAGATCTTCAACTGATTAGATGAGGCCCACCCATTGTTTATTAATTTTTTAATTTTATTTTTCAATTACAGTTTAAATATTTTTAGTTTTAGCATAGTGGTTAGACAATCATATACTTTCAAAAGTGATTTCCCCCCAGTATTTCAAATACCCACCTCGCACCAGTTATTGCAATATTATTGACTATATTCCCTATGCTGTACTTTACATCCCCATGACTCTTTTCTAACTACCAATTTGTACTTCTTAATTCCTTCAACCTTTTCGCCCAGCCCCACCTCCCCTCCCCTCTGTCAACCATCAGTCTGTTCTCTGTATCTATAAGTCTGTTTCAATTTTTAAAAATATGTATATTTTTATTGATTTCAGAGAGGAAGGTAGAGGGAGAGAGAGAAACATCAATGATGAGAGAGAATCATTAATTGGCTGACTCCTGAATGCCCCCTACTGGGGATCGAGCCCGCAACACAGGCATGTGCCCTAGACTGGAATCGAACCCAGGACTCTTCAGTCTGCAGGCCGACGCTCTATCCACTGAGCTAAACTGGCTAGGGTGTTTCAATTTTATTTGTTTATTTAGTTCTTTAGATTCCACATATAAGTGAAATCACATGGTATTTGTCTTTGTCTTTGACTTATTCACTCAGCATAATAACCTCTAGGTCCATCCACAAATGGTAAGATTTTGTTTTTTTTTGTAATCAAGTAATATTCCACTGTATATATGTACTAGTTTCTTTATCTACTTTTCTATTGATGGGCACTTTGGTTTCTTCCATATGTTGGACGACCACCTGTCTTATGGGTTTTAAGAAGGGCAATCTTTTTTGCTCAGTCTACAGACTCAAATGTTAATCTCATCCAGAAATACTCTCATAGACAAACCCAGGATAACGTTAGACCTATACCTTCACCTTTATCCCAATATTTGGGCAATCCATAGACCAGTCAAGTTGCCACATAAAATTAACCTTATACCTATTTCCCATGGTTGTGAGAAGGAAACTTCCTAAGCAAACCCCAGTAGGTATATTATTAAGGAACAGGTGATGGTTGAAAGCTATGAGAATCTATTCTAGTCCACACCACTGTATTCCTGCCTTCCCAGCACAAGGGTATTGACATTTGTTAAATGAGTAAACTACTGTTATGAGGAAAAGAGAAGTAACTCTTTAAAAAGACTGAAGAGGGCAGGCCTCCAGGGAGAGGTACAGACTAAGTAGGACTTCCCTGGGAGTCCTTAATCCGTAGAGCCTCTCATTCCCTCTTTTTGCCCCTATCTTGCCTGGGAACGCTATTTCCATGTTTATTATTTCTACAGGGAAATGGATCCTGAGTGCTAAACAACTAACTTAAAAACTGGGAACACAGGGTGTTTTTAAATTGGGAGAATGCCTTCTTATACTGTTCATTATGGGAGAAGAACGTTACTGATAACATTATCTGAGATAGAGGTTAGTTATTTTTTACTCCATTTCCCATTATTGGCTTTAATGTATCTCCAGAAAGTTTGTATAAAAATTAGCGAGCACATAAACGTGTTGGCGGGTGGTCCTAATCACCTGCCTTCAGCCATGGCTGTGCATCAAATTGCTGTCAGGTGTTACTATTGGCCAGCTCATAGCCACAGAGCACCTGTACATGATAAGTAATTGAGATGAACTGTCATTCATTTTTGTGGTTTTTTACCTCTTCAGGTTTAATTCCCAAAGAAATATACTGGAAATTGGACCTTTTGAAGGATTTCTTTTGACATATTTTCTTTAAATGACTGCAACGTGTCTCATCCCACATGCTCGTTTTACAATACGACTGACATTCCTCCCCTTGGGAGGTATGATCTCTGTCCTCTCTCCTTAAATGTGATTTTTACTGTTTCAACAGATACAATCTAGTGGAAGTGATGTCATATGAGTTCTGAGGTTAAGTCATAAAAGTCAATGCAGCTTCTGCCGTGTCCTCTTGTGAGTCTCTCTTGGAATACTCACTTTTGGAGTGTAGCTGCCAGGCAGTGAGGAAGGTAGGCAGCTACCTAGAGAGGTCAGTCCCCGCTGGAGTTCCAACAACAAGCCAGCATCAATTTCCAGACATGTGAGTGAACAAGCTTTCAGGTTCCAGACCTTGGCCTCAACTTTGAGCTGCCCCAGCTGATGTCATGCGGTGCAAAGATAAGCTGTCCCATCGAGCCTTCTCCAAAATGCGTATTTGTGAGGTAAGTAAAGAATTGCTGATTTTTAGGCCCCTAAGTTTATGATGGCCTGGCAAGTATAAATAACACTACTATAGGCACTTAGCATACATTTAGATCACGTCCAATCTCTTAGATCAAGCTTAAATTTTCTTGTAGCCAGAGAAAAATATAGCACACAGCCATAGAAATTCTGTTCTTGGTCCTACATTTTCACAAAGCGATCCTTCTGCAAGTCTGAGACTCATGGTGACCTCTGCTGACCAGGTTAGTTCTTGATTCAACTAGACCTATACCCTAGTACTAATTTAGGGACTGTAGCGAATTTACTGCTCTTTTCAGAATTAAAAAAAAAATGAGGTTTCTTGCTTTATTAAATACTCTTTCCTACACCTTTATCCCAATCCTTCTTAGAGTTTTGAATGGGGGGAGGGGGTGGCAGGTGAAGGCGGGCAAAAGGTATTTTTGAACTGTTCTAGACAACTCACTCACACATTCTTCCCGAACCCTTCCTAAAGGAATGTGCCGGATGGTGGGGAATTATTGTTATCCTTTTTGTTTTGTAATGTTATCGTGTAAGGGGTTTCATCAGGGATTTTAAAATGTTTGGACTCCCAGAACAAATTTTAACTTTTTTTTGTTGTTGTTGAAAATACAATTAATCAGTAATTTTCCCTCTCTTTCTCTTTCTTGGTCTCCAAAATATTTAAAATAACCGTTTACATGGAGGAGGATGATATGCAGGTATTGTGAGAATCCAAAGACGTACAAGATGGATTTTTGTCCTTTCAGGACTTGTTGTAGCACGATCAGCCTCGAGGCAACCAAGAAATAACTCTATAATCTTAATTCTTACGAATTATTATTCTGGGACCTAGGCCTATCAGTCAATGTCAGAGCCCTCAACCATGTCCTTTCACTTATTAGAAAAGAAACCCATAGCGGGGACCTCCATAAAGCCCAGATAAGCAAACCTTTGGTCGTCTTTACCTGTCTCATTTCTCCTTTTCTTTCCCAGATCCTTCCTGGAGATACTATATACGTTCCTTTCCCCACTTAGCTTCTTTTTAAAAAAAATATATTTTATTGATTTTTCTTACAGAGAGGAAGGGAGAGGGAGAGAGTTAGAAACATCGATCAGCTGCCTCCTGCACACCTACTGGGGATGTGCCCACAACCAAGGCACATGCCCTTGACCAGAATCGAACCTGGGACCCTCCAGTCCGCAGGCCGACGCTCTATCCACTGAGCCACACCGGTCAGGGCCCCACTTAGCTCTCACTTCACCATCCCTTCCCGCTCAACTGGTTATCCCCGCTTCCCTCCTCTGGCACCAGCCCGCAGGAAGCTGCTCCCTCCCAACTCTACCTTCCGGGGACCCACCGGCCCTGAGTTACATCGTGCACCTTTCAGAAACGAAACAATAAAAAAGGACCAAGAAACCGTGCACTGGATTCCTACATTTCATCTTTCTCAAATGCACCCGCTACACCCAAGGCCTGACTGTGGAGCCGGAGTCTGAGCTCCCAGCCCAAGGGGCAGCGACGTGTCATTACAAGCCTCAGGCAGCCCCTGCTGACGAGATGAGGAGCAGCTGCAGCCATAATAACGGGAGCGAAGCTGGAAAGAAGCCGCCAGCCTCGCCATCGTAGCGCTACGAGGCTCCACCGCGCCTCCCACACTCGGGGCCCGGCCGTAGTCATCACGCTCAGGGGGACCAAGATGGCGCCGGCCCCGCCGCCGCCGGCACGCCGCGGGGGGTGGGGTGGGGGCGGGGCCGGGCGCGTCACGTGACCCGGGGCCGCGCGCCCCCAGCAGCTCCGGGCGCTCTCCGGGAGTCCGGCGGCCGCGCAGACGGTGCCCTGCCCCTGTGGGGGCGACCTCGCTGGTGCCCGCGCGGCGGAGAGGCTCTCCCCCAGCCGCCGAGGGCCGGAGCGGGGTCGCGAAAGGGGGCGCTGTGCCGTGCAGAGGCAAAAGGGCGGTGGGACGGGTTCCCTGCAGCCGGCGCCGAGGCGGGTGTGGGTGGAGGTGGAGGTTGGGGGAGACCGCGCGAGAGTCCCGGGGGGACCGCCAGGTGCCGAGGGCGAGGCAATCGGGGGAGATTCAGGGCATTCTGCCCGGGCCGTGGGCGCCGTCGGGAAGTCGGGGTTCCCCTCGAGGCTTCGGCCACTTGGCTTGGGCTTTCCGCAGGTTTCCCATCGCCATCCAGCCTCGAAGCCGGCAGGACTGAAAAACGGCTCCGGCCAAATTGTCTCTTCCCGCTAAGGAGGGGGGCTGAGCCCGCAGCCGAGGGGACTCGCGAGGGATGCCCCGACCCTCGGGGGCGTGCAAGGAGCAGAGGCTGGAGTGCGCGGCGAGAGCGGAGAGTTCCCTCCTGTGGCCACCAAATGCCTCCCTGAGTGGCTCGCTCTCCGCCGAGTGGGCTGGGCTGCGCTGACCCCCCGGGAAGAGGGTCGGGCCACGCTCGGCGGGTTCTGACCGCGCCGCCCTCCTGTGGGTGCTGACGGGACCCACGAGGGAACGGGCATGGGGCGCCGCCTCGCCTTCCTCCCTCCCCGCCTCCTAGGCGCCGGGGCTGGCGATGTGGAGTCGTGAGGGGACCCGAGGCTGCCCCGGGTTCTCCAGGACTCCGCCCGGCACCCGCGCGCCCCTCTGCGCCCGGGGCAGGAGAGGCTGACGCGGGGCTGCAGGTGGGCTTGCGGGCGGCGAGCAGAGCCGGAGCCCCGGCCTCGCCATGGGGCACAACGGCAGCTGGGTCTCCCGGAACGCCAGCGAGCCGCGCAACGCGTCGGGCGCCGAGGCGGCGGGCGCCAACCGCAGCAGCGCTCTCGGGGAGCTGGGCGAGGCGCAGCTGTACCGCCACTTCACCACCACCGTGCAGGTCGTCATCTTCATAGGCTCGCTGCTCGGTAAGCCGTCCGCCGGGGCGCCTCCCGCCGGCTTGGCCCGAGGGCACAGGCACGCATCCGGTCCCCATAGGCCGAGTGCAGATAGTGGAAGGAGGTTGAAGAAGGTCGGGGTAACTGCGGGGAACTTCAGCAGGCACGGTCCACTGCGGGGAACTTCAGCAGGTCCCGTGGGGCTTTCTCCCGGCCGAGGACCGTGCCTGGTGCCGGCGGAGGTCAGCCTCCCCCAGGCCGCCCTTGCGGAACGCTTCGGGATGCGCGCAGGGTCGGGATGGGCGCGGGGTCGGGATGCGCGCAGGGTCGGGATGCGCGCAGGGTCGGGATGCGCGCAGGGTCGGGATGGGCGCAGGATCGTGCCCAGCATTTCTTACTTCAGTGGTTCTCAACCTTGGCTGCACATTAGAATCACCTGGGCCTCCGGAGGCCCAGAAGTCAGGATTTTAAAAAGATTCCCAGGTGATTCTAATGTGCAGCCAAGGTGGAGAACCACTGTCTTACTTTTCGAGTGCCGGCCGCGGAGCGCTGCCCCGAGCTCTTGTTTACAAATAGCGGGGAACAAGGCTTCTGTTTGGTTGCTGATGACGGATGTGTTTTCCGCTCTCATCTATTCCCTATATGCAAAATTATTTTCAAAGAGCCGTATTTTGCGCGTTTTATGGCTGGCTTCTTCGGAACATCGACCTGCTGGTAAACAACCCGGTGGAGTTCAACTTTGTTGCCTTCAGATATTGTTGAACACCAAAACAAAACAAACCTCAGTCTATTTCTCTACCTGTGTTTTGTTTGAAGTATAGAATAAAGACAGGATAAAAAAACACAAAACACCACATTCAACAGGTTTAGTTATACTTGTTGGGAGAAGGAAACGCCACTGAATTGAAATAAGTAAAAAACAAAAACAAAAACGTGAGTCTCCTGGTGTGAGAGTTATCAGCACTTCTGGTAGCGACTCCTTTAAGTAATAAATGATACTATCAGTATTCAGTTTTTGTTGAAGCTTCTTGAACATGTTGTAAATATGTGGCTTCCCTTCAAATGCAAATTCTCTGATGTGGCATTTATAATGATGTAAAAAGATTGTGAGTATGTGTGATTTTTATGGATTTTTATTTTTATAGATTACTTATTTGTAGACTGTTATGAATTTCCATGGAAACCAAAATAACTGACATAAAAAAGGCAATGGAAGAATTTTAAGTGTTTGAAATTTCCCTTAATAATTTCTCTGATTGTCATCCTCCTGTCCTATCATAATATTTGTCTTCTACTTTTTGTCATGAGAGCATTTTCAGGAGTAGACCTCAATGTGACTATGCCTAGGTGAGTGTGTGTGTGTGTTAAAATGTGTTTTTATGAATGCCCTTATTTCATCTCTTTCCACATGGCACTATGGCATGCAAAAACTGCTTTTGTGGCTATCTCTAAACAGGAGACTTGATTTTCCCCTTGATCTTGGTTATCTCTGACTTGGCCTAGGGGGACATATTTTCACCGCTCCACATTACTTGGGTCCTCCTAAGAGAATTTCACTTGTTCCTTTTTATATTCAGAAAAAAAGAATAAATATGTTTAAATGTCTAGAAATCAAAGATCAGAGAACTTGTGCAAAAGTGAAAGGCATTTGTGGTTTCCTTAAAAGCTTAGCTAAACATAGCCCTGTGTACTTGTTACTTACTGGTATTCTTGATTCATTGTTCTCTGAGGATTTGATGCATACAAACATATCTATGTAATTGAATCTTCCTGGTAAAGACAGTTGAGGCTCAGAGCTTAAGTTCCAAAGTCATGTACAATCAGTTACAAGGCAAGTAAACTTGGCAAGTATGGTTTTATGAAGCTCAAAATATTAGGAAAAAGGCACATATTAGGAATAAAAAAATTTATCATGGAAGAATCTATAAGGTTGAAAAGTAAATGGAGGATGGAATAGTATCTAGGATAGTATATGACTCTAATTTAATTTACTTGTTTTTCCCTGTCCCGTAGTGTAGATGAATGAGCCCTTCTTTTTTTTTCTTTAAATAAATTCAAATATACTTCCTTTATTCTCTAGAATTTTTCATTGAGATGTCCAGAGGCCCTCTATTGTTTGAAAATAATTCTGTGGGGAAAGGGGGAATTTTTCCCCTCATTTCCTTCATAGTACTTCTGGCTGGTCTAATCAAATTGACATGAGACACATTAACAGGACTAAATACCCAAATTTATTATGTATGTACATACAACGGTTCTGTAAGAATAAGGGAGCTGAGGACAGATCAGGCAATTGGGGCGATGTGCTGTCTTAAACTGAAGAGAAAGGAAGTAGTGATTTGGACTTCAAAGGAAGGAAGCTGAAGAGAACTGAAGGATGTTGATTTCCAATGATGGTCCCTTCATGTAGGTAGACATTACCTGTGGACACTTTATGAAATTCAGAGGGCCTTTATTTATTTACTAGAGGCCCAGTGCACAAAATTCATGCATGGGTAGAGTCCCTAGGCCTGGACGGCAATCAGGGCTAATCAGGTTTGCCGGCCTTTCTGCCTCCTCCTTCCCTTGCTCCCTCAGCTCCCTGCCTCTGCTGCTGGTCGCCCGCCATGTTCCATGCTGCCCCCTGGTGGTCAGCACACATCATAGCAAGCGATCAAACTCCCAGTCTCCCAAACTCCCAAGGGGACAATTTGCATATTAGCCTTTTATTATATAGGATTTTTTTGTTAATCCTCACCCGAGAATATTTTTCCATTGATTTTTAGAGAGAGTGGAAGGAAGGGGGCACACATCCCTATTGGGGCTGGGAATCGAGCCTGTAACCGAGGTACATGCCCTTGACCGGAATCTACCCTGGGACCCTTCAGTCCATGGTCCAATGCTCTATCCACTGAGCAGAATTGACTAAGGCCACAGAGGGTTTTTAATGAGCAAGGACAAGGAGAGTTTTGCTAATGGCAGATGGATGCTTCCTGTGCAATGTTAGGTACCCTTGACTTACCTGCCAACATGGTTACTACCAATCAGCCTTACACTTATGCTGGGGTTTATACTTTATAACATATACCACATTATTCAGTTATAATAACATCCTATATAATAAAAGGGTAATATGCAAATTGACCCTAACAGCAGAACGACTGGGAATGACTGGTCACTATGACACACACTGACCACCAGGGGGCAGACGCTCAATGCAGGAGCTGCCCCCTGGTGGTCAGTGTGTTCTCACAGGGGGAGCTCTGCTCAGCCACAAGCCAGGCTGACGGCTGCCAGCACAGCGGTGGTGGTGGGAGCCTCTCCTGCCTCCTCAGCAGTGCTAAGGATGTCCGACTGCAGCTTAGGCCTGCTCCCTGCTGGCAAGTGGACATCCCCCACGGGCTCCCAGGCTGCCAGAGGATGTCTGACTGCCAGCTTAGGCCCAGTCCCCCGGGGAGCAGGCATAAGCCAGCAGGTGGACATCCCCTGAGGGGTCCCAGACTGCAAGAGGGCACAGGCTGGGCTGAGGGACCCCCCCCCCCCGAGTGCACAAATTTTTGTGCACCAGGCCTCTAGTCTATATAATAAAAGCCCAGCGACCAGAACGGTGCAATGACTGAAACGACCAGACCAACCAGTCGCTATGATGTGCACTGCGGCGGCCAACCAGCCCAGTCCAGGCACCGATTGGTCCCCTCCAACCTCCCACGGTCCCTCCCCCTGGCTGGTCCTGCCCCTGATCAGCCCCCCCTGACCCTGATCGGGGGTGGGGCCAGCCAGCCAACCACCCACGGCCCCTCCCCTGGCTGGCCCCCCCCAAAGGCCCCAATTTGGGGGCTGGCTGGCCAACCTCCCGAGGTCCTTTTCGCGGCCGGCCGGCATCCCCGCCCCCCATAGGCCTCGATCACTGGCCAGGCCAAGGGACCCCACCCATGCGTGAATTTGTGCACAGGACCTCTAGTCTATCTATATATATAAAAGCCTAACTGACCGTTACAACTGAATGACTGGAATGACTGGTTGACCAGTTGCTATGATGCGCACTGACCACCAGGGGGCGGACGCTCAATGTAGGAGCTGCCCAACCTCCCCTGGTCCCTCCCCACGGCCGGCCGGCCAGCCAACCTCCCGCAGTCCCTCCCCCTGTCCTTCCCCCCGGCTAGCAGGCCCCAGTCGGCCCGGCCCTGATTGGCCCGATCCCGATCAGCCCTGGCCAGGCCTAGGGACCCACCCGTGCACGAATTCAGGCACTGGGCCTCTAGTTATGAAATAATTTAGGGAAATTTTCTGTTTTTATTTTATAGCACACCCTTTTCCCCCAAACAGCACAGCTTTTCCCAAACAAGTGCAGATTCACTGATCAGCCTCCCTTCCAGTACTCATCAGATTTTTCAGTTGCAAACAACAGAGCCTATTGTCAAAAGAAGACACAGCTACAAAAACATTTAATAAAAACATTTTACTTGTTGAGATGAACTGCAAGGAGTTCAGGATTTGCTTGTCAAATATAAAACAAGCATTTAAAAGAAAGCCACTGCGAGATTACCAAGTTTACAGTTACTATGTTTATTGTGGGGAAAAAGTAGTATTTAAATCACATTAGTGTTATAACCTCAAAGATTGTGTCATATCTTCAGCTATCAGCATTGCAAAAGTCAATAAAGTTAGAAAACAATAAAGTTCTTATTAGGAGTCAGTAACTTACAGAAAAGGCTCAAGATTTCATTTATTGTGAGGAGAAACATCTATTGGCTACCTATTCCATGCCCCCTACTGGGGATCGGGCCTGCAACCCAGGCATGGGCCCTGACTGAGAATCGAACCGTGACCTCCAGGTTCATAGGTCAACACTCAACCATTGAGCCACACCAGCTGAGCCTGGGTCTTTTTAATGTGTCTTTATTTTGGGGGAAGAGAGGGGCTCAGAGACCAAGTGTTTGTTGTTTTTTTTCCTGACTGTGGGACATAATGTGCATCTTTTTCCATATTGCAGCAGGGCAAGGTTTTACTTCTACACTAAGTTTTACTTCTACACCAAACTAGACAGTTTA